TCTCTCTCTCTCTCTCTCTCTCTTCTTAACATTGTTCTTAACACTTTCTATTATGTTTTTCTCTCTACCATCCTATCTTTTGAGAGTAAGTGAGAGTATACGAGTCAGTAAATAGGAAAAAAAGAAACACTTAGAAGTCAATTATTTGTGTAGGTCCGTAAGCTAGGGCTGGGTCACGAGCGCGAGAACGGAACTGAATCGCCACTCTTGCCTGCGGAACGCGATTCGCGATTCACTTCATCGGAACGCAGAACAGTATCGCCAAACGATTCTCGATTCCCTCCCCTGTCACTGTGACCACCTTGTGGCTTGTTTAACCTACTGCTGAGTCGAGTCACGAGCGCAAGAACAGAACGGAACACTTAGTATGGCTCCCCTTATTTTACAAAAGATGGTATAGTCCAACCCCCCTATTTAAACAAAATGAACGGGGTCCAACCAATAGACAGAAGGAATTTTATGGGGCCATTGTTTTAGCGAATCATGGGGTTTGGGTGGGGGGTTGAATTTAGGGGGGTCACTAATTGAGGTCAGTTAATAGAGCAGCACAACAAAGGGTGTGGGGCGGAGAGGATGACGGAACAACAAAAATGGGACTCGCCCTCACCGAGTGGCGTTGATATGACACTGTTCCGTTTCAGTCAGTGATCCGCCGCAGTTCCACGAGCTCTCGCGTACTCGCGATTCTTTAAAGCCGACTGAATCGCGAATCGCCACTCTCAAATTTCACGAGCAGGATCTAGCCCTACCATAAGCCAGTGTGCATGAATGTGAGTTAGGATGAATATTTATGAATAATAGTCATCAGTGTAAGCTTGTGTGTATGTGTGAGTGTTTGAAAATGTGTGTGAATTTCCTCCTTTCAGTCTCTGTCCGACTACCTCTTAGTCTCACAATCCCATGCAGCTTCCTGCCAGAAGGACCCTTTAAGAATCTGAGGCAACTTGAATATCACAACATAGTGCTCAGCACGATGGAACCATGGAGTTCAGTATCCCAAATTTGATATAGTAATACAGGTATCACTGAAATAAAGTAAGACTTCTACAAACTAATTGGACTGAAGCCCATAAGGAAAAGAGTCTACATTTAATATTTCTCAAAAGCTGGCAATCTATGAAAAAAATGAAAACCTATTGGCAAGAATAATGCCTCAGGGAATTTATTTTTTTTCTATACAATAGAAACCACTTACGTCAGATCAAGCACTTTGAGTGTTGTGTTCACCGGTAGAGCTTTCTGTAAAGCCATAGCACCCTCCAGACCAAATCCATTCCAACTCAAATCTAGAACCTCCAAAGTGACATTGTACTGAAAAAGAAGAAAATGGGAAAATTTGAAGGAAAAAGAAAATTCATTTACAAAGACAATCTGTGATGAGATTAAATCTTAAATTATTTATCCTTGTGTACAAAAGTGGAAATTGGTTGGAGAGAAATGAAAGCTGCAAGACATCGCACAGTGGAACTTCCCAATATTGATGAAAATAAGTTTGCTGGGGGGGGGGTGATTGTTTTGGGGGGGTTTTTGTTGGGAAGTTTTGTTTGTTTGTTTGGTTTTTTTGGTTCTTTTTTGTCTTAACATTTTTTTTACCTAGCACTGCCAGGGAGGGGAGTTGGATGACTCTATCAATATCAGGGGATAAAATGCTTTCCACTTAAAACTTTATTTTTATGATAAAAAGGTGGTCTGAATGACCCTTTGCTTTGAAGGCAGATAAAAGATATAAATGGAAATCTGACAAATACCATTGTGTTTGGTAGAGTATTAGTTCATAACAAAAAAAAAACATTTTTCAATTTATGAAACTCTAATGAAGCTTTTATAAAACAATAAAAAACGCCAATGCAAAACTATGACCTAGAGCTGACCAGTTTACAAATGTACATGAGAGGGGGCTAGTTTTCAGATTTAAGATCAGCAGGATTGACCTCAGATTGATTTGTTCTAGCAACAGATCATTACCCTTAAACAGTTTACGATGGCAGCAGCTCCTTGTTTCCGTAGGCAGTTCCAGCTCAGGTCAAGATCAACAATACCTTCATTGACTGACTGCAAAACAAGGAAATCAAGACTCTGCTATTATTACGACAAAAAGAAATCAACATCAGGTACAAAGACTGAATAAATATTTCTTCTGCAGTTACGAAACTATAGATATTATCTTAAATCAGTTCAATGTGAGAGAGAAAAGTAACAAAAATCATATGCCAGTAGCCAGTGTTAAGAAAAAAAGTCTTTAAAAAATAGAAACTCTGTAAAGGAAATAGTATGTATTTGAACACAGAGCAATGAGCCAAATAAGTGTTTCAGATAAAGTTGCAAGCTTGAGGTATGGCTACATATCTGTCTTAAAATAGAGAGATAATTTTAAAGCAGCAAACTTCAATTTAATTCCTCCTCCAAAAGAATCACAGAAACTTCAATGTAGGAACTTTGTTACAACACTATAATGATAGTGCTTTACATCATACCATTGCAGCCATATGGTCAAAAAGAGCAAAGACAACCACAATGGAGAAGTGCAAAGCTATACAGGATACAATAAGAAGCATTTGAGCTCATGACAGAATGCTCAGACCACAGCAAAATATTACAGGAAGGAAAAGCAACGTTTAAAAAATATCAAATTAAAATCTTGAAACTCTGTAAAATAATCAAACATCAGCCCTGGTATGATAATTCCAAAACATTAAAAGGACAAAAAAGTACAAAATCCCCAACCATCATCTTTCCCATCTTTTCTCCCCCCGTGATGTAAATCATTTGTTTTAACTGTTTAAACTGCTCAAATGCTACTGCATCGCTAACAACAACAACAACAACAACTATTTAAGCCCTGAGTTTTTTCCACCGTTTCCGGGATTTTTTTCTGTACAGTCACCTAAACCAAGTGCACTATGTCTCATTATAACCCCAAAAGCTTGCCTTCAACTTCTAAATGGCAGAAACAAAAGGCATAGTCATTACTTTAAAAAACTTGGTTCAGGAATAGTTCCGAAAAACAAAGACTAAATAAAACGAAACAGTTGTCACTACTATCAGACGCTGGAGCGTCCAATGGGGAACAGGGTTATTACCGGCAGACGCTCCCAGCGCCAGAAAGGGTTTAAAGAGTTAATCACCGAACTTTTGCAATGGTTGCAGTTGCCTCTATAATGGTTGAACCTTTCTTTTTACCCAATCGATGTTTCAAGTCCTCCTCAGGAAAAAAAACAGCAAAGGCCAAAGCCAAAGGAATGAAGGTGTACTAAAAGCTCACCAAAGCACCACCTAAATGGATCCCTCCCATGACTGAGAACTCATTGTGGCTCAGATCAAAGCTCATCAAGGACATATTGTTCTTCAAAGGGTTTATAAAATGGTAGGCATCTGTATCTGAAAGCTGATTTCCTGAAAATCAAAATCAAAACAACTGTGAATCAAAATATGACCTTTTAAGTTGAAAATATGTTTATCAGAATAAAAAAGAGAATAAGATTGCACTGGAATGCTAAGCACAATTTTTAATTTCTCTTTAATGCATAAACCTCGATTTGCAACCCAAATCCCAACCCTTGCTAAAACAGAAGCTGTGAACACAAATCTCTGTATTTGCTGAAAATGGTGAAAAACAGGTTTCTCTCCAGACCAGTGGTCATGTGTTTCTCCAACAATAAAATAGTACAAACTATTTGGTTCATCCCCCCCCCCCCCCCCCCAACTTATTCAACCCTTCAGTTCCCATTCAACCGCTTGAAGCTTTCTTTTTTCCACATTCTGTTCACCAGGAGCCTGTGACTAATTTTTTTTAATGCCTGTCATTACATCTCAGGGGTTGTGTTACCGAGAAATCTGAATCCTCCCCCTGCTCCTTTTTTGGTAGATTTCACACTCCCATCTACTTATTGGCTGGAATATCAGCAGGCACTTTGAACACCCCAACTTCCCCTCCCCCTCCTTCCAGCCCTTTTCTCTTTACTGACTTTATGAAAGAAAAGTACAAGCAGCTTTGATAATCATATAATAATATTTATTCTTTACCCCATTCTTGCGCTGTGATCAGATTAAATCTATATAATAAGGCATATACTTACATTAGGAAAACTGGTTGTATATTTCAATTTTTTTTTTAAAGAAGACAGTGATAAACTAGTGTCTCACTTTTGCACATTTCTTTTTTGATTACACTTTCATCACTAATACTGTGTTAGCACTGAATTCAAATCATAAGGCATGTTAATAACAGAGGCATCAAAAGTACATAATGTACTGCAGATAAAAAAAAGGTACCACTTTGTGAATAAAATCTAGTTTTTGAGTCTTTACAGTTTTTCTCACATGTGAGCAATTCTGAGCACTCTAAAAAGTATATCATGTTATAAAAATAATATTTTGGTGCTCACTTTGGGCTTACCATCCCAACAAGTAGAAAAATGGCATTTTTCTCCCAACCATGAGGCCGATTTTTCTATTCTTTGTTGGGTTTTTTAAATGAAGTTTAGGTCAGCGTTTACCAAAAGCCGCAATAACATCTGATCATTGTCACCCATGAAAGATAGCAGGTTTAACTGAACATCAGAGAAATTGAGCCATTGCATGCTCTGCTGGTTTTTGCTTTTTCCAAGACATTCAACGTCTGTTTTTTTATTGATGTTAAATGTCCTGGCAACAGCAGAAACAAAAACACAATAGTTATAAAACCAAAATGTACTGTATATTTAAATCCTAACAAAACAAATGCCCACTGAAGTTTGAAATGTCAATTAAAAAATAAAAAAAATATTTAAAAAACTGAAAAAATTCAAGGAAAATAATCCATGACATATCATTACAGTGGTGATCACTTTACCCATTATTTCCCTTTGACCAGATCCAGAAATATTCTAGTCTTGCAACATAGTTCATAACACTTTTTTCAGCTCAAAACATACCAAAAAACATCAACACCTAACAGTTCATGGATTTTTGCCAATTTTCTCACATAAAGAGGGTGGTCATAGAAAAAAAAAAACCCACTCTATGCTGAAGCACCATACTAGGTAAATTTGCTGACATTTATCGCATCCAAAGATGATTGAACTCTTTGCCTAATTTTAAATAGAAAAAATTGTTGAAAGTCCAGAGAATAATAGCCCTTATCTTACTAAAAATGTAGAATCAGACACCAACATCATTCAAAAACAATCATAACAATCCATTGCACATCTCTGGAACTGACCGGCAAGGGAAAGCATTTTGAGGGTTGTGTTGACTTCAAGCATTTCAGCAATAGCCTCAGCACCAAGAGACCCAATAACATTGTTGGACAAAGTCTGAAACAGTGAGAACATGACAGTGATAGCACAGCACTGTGAATAAACAAAGCATACAGTAAAGGATATGGTTCTAACAAGAAATTAAATTTTCTCATTATTTATGAGCAGAACTCACTTTCAAAATGTATTATTCAAAAATAGTTTTCTTTTATTTTTTATTCAAAATTTGTTGGCCTTTTTTATAGTATATTGCAGAGTATATAAAGATAACAATTTGATGCCCTTTAGATATCAGACATGAAGTTAATGAAAAAGAAAGACATATTTTCAATATATCTCAGAGGCCCTAAATCTATCAAAGGGTATTCAAATTCTCAACTCCCACAAAAGTATCATGGGAATAACCACACTACGAAAAGAAAATAACTCACCAGTGACGTAATGAAATGGTTTTCTTTCAGCATATTTGCAATATAACATGTACCAGAACTCTCAATGTAGTTATCACCTAGGTCCAGGTTTTCTGTTACAGTGTTGTGCTGAAAACAGAGAAAAGGACATTTTCTTCCTTTTTGTTCTATTAAATACAAATGAAAACATACTGTTCCTCCACATTTCTATTATATCTTCTAAGTATTTCTATTTGGTATTTCAGACAGGATTTTTTTTCAACAAACTGTTTCATATCAAGGTCATGGCAATAAAATGTATGAACCATTGCTAAAAACAATTTTTTAATCTATGTGTGTTTGGAGGGGGGGGCACAAATATAACAGTTTCATCATGCTGTAGATGACAGAACAATACTTTGCACCACAGTAAAGTAACCATGACAAATAAATACATCGATAACTTTGATAAAGAAGAGGAATTGATAATGCAGTATTGAATAAAGTGATGAAGATGACAAAGTCATGATGAAAAATAAATTGAAGCCATGATTATCAAAAGCTGGAAGAAAGATTAGGATTTTAAAAATCTACAAGCAATAAAGAAATCAGAGGAAAGAGGAAAGAATAAACAGAATAACCAGTTGCCCCCTCCCATCACCTAGTAAAAAAACTGCAAACAAAAGACATTACAAGACCTTACTGAGAAGGACGAGAAATATATATCAAAGCTACACTATAAAAAGTATACCTTAAATGCCAGAGCAAGGGGTTTTGTCGCTGTTCCTCCAAGATATCTGTGCCTCATTCTCACATTACGCTCCCCAATGTGACGGCACAGATATGACACTGGTATAAATCCTACAACATTTATAAAAAATCATCAGCTTTGAAGATACTACAAGAATTTTGTTTTCATGAAATAAAGGAATATTTCATCTCGATAAATCTGTATGTCTGAATCAGTCTTCTTATCTCAGATAGTCCTCATTTTTTTAGACAATCTCTCTATTTCAGGCAAGCTTTATATCTCTATAATTCTCTTCATAACCATACAACTTTCCCATTTAATGTCTGCAAAAGAACTTGGGAGCTCGACTGATTGGCAAATTTAGACGTGGTAAATACTCATGTCTCTCTTTTAAATTCCATTGAAGAGATGAGGGGGGGGGGGGGGGGGGTAAATATTTCAGAATGTTTAATGAACACAGTATCACTCCTTGTCCTTATATACACCGCCAAAAGTCCAACTCACTACCTCTGAACAGCAAAGTGCCAGTATCTAAATAAAAAGAGGACTAATTTAGAGGCCAATAACTTTGTCCTCTTTGGACCAACTTCAACAAAACTTGAAACAAATTATATTTAACCAAAGGAAAATCAAGTTTATCAATATGAAGAAAGTCATTATATTTGAGAATTATCAGGGTTATTTTTATTTCAACTATCCAACAATTAAACAATCTCAAACCATGGTCTAACGAAAAAGAGTACAAAATTTAAGGAAGAAGTTGGACCTTATAACAGCCTCAATTCTGAGAACTGTTAAGAATCTATTTATCAACTGATTCACTGAGATCCTTTGATTTTCCAACTCTATTTCACCCATCAAAATAACATGTGGCACGACATTGTGGAATCAGGCACTCGCCAATTTTGGGGAAAATAGGGATATTGGTGTCATCTGAAAGCCTGTTCATTTGGTGAAAAATATATCCATCTATGTTGATTAGAAGTCGAGATATTTGCAATTGAAGGAGGGGAGGGTTGCCTGGTTTCAGAGGTAAAATTAAGGAGAAAATGGCCGCCAAAGTTTGGAAACTTCCATAGCTTGACAGTCTTTGGAAACTGAAAATTTTAATTTTTTGTGCCTTTAATTCATGTTTTTCTTTTAAAAATCCCACACAGCGCCGAATCAGCGGTCGTTTAGTTTCGCCAGGGCGTGACCGGGGTCAGCTGCCGGTCAGTCTACCTGCGCTCACTCCACGCGCGGAGTTACATACCACAGCAATTTTACACAGTTTTGTTTCAACGCTCACGAATGAAAGCAGGGTTATCAATATACACATAGTGTTCCATCTTTGAGTTTCTTCTTTCAATGTACAGTTTGTGAAAACGCAACGAAGATATCTAGTATAGTTTTTTAACTGCATGTGATCAAATACAGCCGTTTTATATGTGGTAATCAAGGAAATATGCACCGAATTAAAAGTTATGTAACTACCAAAGTGCGGGAATAAATTCACTAAAACTCGCTCAGAATAAAGACAATTAATGTGGGTATCTACTTACCAAAGGACACCGTTGTTGGAAGATTAGTAATCCACATTTTTGTCTTTTCGTTCAACAGCCAAATTCGTAGGGGCTTGTGATGAAATTCTCATTACAGTATCCTTCATTAAATTCATGACACAGATCTCTTTACACAGCTTATCTATGGCGCCCTGGTTGTTTTCTCGGTGCCTGCAATGAAGATGCTCTCTGGAGCAAATTAATGTGCGTTCATAACGTATCGTAGTTTTTCCGTATTGTTTACGATGCCTTGAACCCACTTTTCAATTTTTAAAATAGACTGGTGTCAGCTTTCGGTTCCTTTTCTCCCAGCGGGCCCAAGCCAAAGCCATGTTGTGTAATGGATGGAATGCAGTGTTGTTCTAAATTGCGCTGTTTGGGGATTTACTTTTTTGGAAAATGTTTTCTGTACAGCTTCATGTACGTGTCTATTGCTGTCTGAATTCCTGGAATAGAGGTTTTCTGAATAGGTGCAATGTGTGAGTTGTCATTATGAATTTGACTGTATTACTATGCTTGGTTGAGAGAGTCGAAAATCAAACCTATAGTGTGCGCTTTGTCAACAATGATTGGATGATAAAATATCCCTTGGCAGTGACTCATATTATTAAGTCCGAGCCTTTCTTATCAGCCTCTGTTGTACTTTAGTCACGTTCTTATTAAACGCGACAAAGTTCATTCAGAGAGGAGGAACGGGAAAGTCTCCCGTGTGTGTGTTCCATACGGAGATTTCAGTAAACCTGTTAGAAATGAATCACGGGCAAATGGATTCTACCTCATATCGTAACACGGCTCAATCAACGAAGATGAAATTTATACACATTAAGCACAAATATATCTGCCTTTCATAGAAACAACAAACTATGAAATTAACGGAGAAGTGTTGAACTTAAAACAGCATAGAATCCAGAATACGCAATTGCACGGGTCAATTAAAAAGGCACTGGATGAGAATCAGATGTAAGCGACTTAATATTGCAAGAACTATTCTTCAAACAATGATGAAAATTATACACGTACAGCACAAATATGTCATCAGTGCATGCACCAAAATTTGTTGAGATTGAGCGAGCACTTTGGAAATTAAAAGTGAATTAAGTGCAGCACACACAGATTAAATTATATGAAAATCAGAACATTTTGCACACTCTGTAGCATAGGCACATATCGTCGCATTGAGATCGGGTTTTCGCAGACTGAGAGGGGGAATCTTGCTCTTTTCTTATTGTATGGAATAATTCGTGGTTAGAGTGAGGATACTGCCGATAATTAGTGTCAAAAGTGTCGATTACGCCATGACCTGCCCGCCTGTAGCTGATGCGCAACGGAGCGGCCAGAGACCCCCGCGTAACCCGGCACGGAGCGGTTCCGACGGTGATTTAATGACTTCCAGATATGTCGCTGGCCTGGGAAACTAAGAGGCACGATTTCGGCCTGTTTTCGGCGCTGTGCCCACAGAAATGTGTTTTTTAAATAGAAATAATAGGTCTGGAGCCAAAAAAAAAGAGAGTTAAATAGGCCTAAAAATTGTCCAGAGGCAGGAAAAATGACGGTTTCTTTGATTGTATTATTTTGACGAGCACCTGATTCCATCACGATGCCTCACATATGTTTGCAATGTCATCTGTTCATTACCCATGCAATTGAAAGCTGAAAGGCAGGTTCTACCTTGAAAGTATTATTTTGAAAGGGAACACAAGCATATTATTGTGTGCCACCATCATGGAGCACTGACACTATTGGCACTTTGGTATTGGTTTATAAGTGAAAAAAAAAAAGTAGGCTTACATTACAAAACTTTTTATTTATCTATCTATTTTACAACAATTCTCTGCATACAAAAATTTGATAAGCTTCTGCTGGTTACCACTTTCAATGAGCTGAACATCCAAAACAGGTATGTAGCTTCAAAGAGTCAATAATTAAAATAGATGTACTCAAAGCATTCAGTTCATAATAAATAAAGACACATTGGGTTTGGGATTGTGCCTCCAACAATGAAATCGATCAAATGAAGAAGTGATAGCTTGCCATGGGAGGCTTATTACCGGGTTTTACTCTTACAAGTCATAAAGCCCTGCTTTGTTGCAACAAGCTTAGTTTAAGATAAATGTAAACATTAGCATTTATACAATTTAAAAAATAGGTTTCAAGCTACTAGCATGTACATACTACACCGACTAAATTTTAAGGAAAGATTGAGGATTTGATATATGAGGACACAATTGTAGAATGCACTTGTAGATACTTTTGATTAATGATTAAAAAGCAGAAAGAAACAACAACAATGCAGCATCTAGCTAGTAGACGAACTGGGAGGTTTAAGACTTCACAAAGTTAGCACTGTGTCCATGTAGGTATGAGGAGAGAATAGCATAAGATTTTTCTTAGAAAGGATCTTAAGTTGTCATAACTCTGATCCAAAATTAGATTGAAGAACCTACAGTCCATTACCCTTGATTTTTCGTAGGGCAATAGAAAAGAAAAAATCGAAAAAATTTGATTATAAAATTATTATAATTGTACCATGTCTCCGACACTGCTCCTCATACTCAAGTCTCCCTGTGGCATCCAGCTGTGTGCTCATAGGAGCTGAAAAATATTCAAAATAAATAGATCTAGTAAGTTAAATTCCTGAAGTGATACACTTAGATTAGTATCTAGATGCAAATTTTTTTTAAAAACATAACAGCATACAATATTGTTCCAATTTTGTGATTGCTATTCACTTCTGCACTTATCTACAAGATTTAATTAACATCAATGCTTCCATTAAGTCTTTTAAGATCTAATTCATATGGTGTTTGGGTAATAATAACCAGTTGTGGGCCCGATCTATCGGAAACGTCCTGAAAGGGTTTAAAAGTAGAATTCAGAAAATTTCTTTTAAAACAGAAATCTATGTTCTATGCATAAAATAATGCTTCAATTTCATGCAAGTAATAACCACATGTTTACAATTCTTAAAGAACACACACAAACATTTAGTGACAAGTGTGGTGAAGAAATAAGACTCTTTTGCAACAAAATATAGAAGACATGATTTCCATTCCCAGTGAAGGGAAGTTACCTTATTCAGTATCTCTGCCTGTCAGCTGAGATGCTGTATCCCATTTAATCCTGGAAGGCCCTGACAGGCAGGGTCCAAGCAGCCTACCTCCTACAGAATCTAGATTGTGCCAATATGGGGTTTAACCCTTTGAGTCCTGACCTCTTGAGGGTACCATGCCTCTCTACCTGAGCTCCTGGGCGATTCATGCGTATATTACCCACATTCATATCATTGTCAGAATCACATTCCATAACCCACTCAGGGCAGTCTCCATCATTACCAACATATAATTCAGAAAGACTTTGATATTAATAAATAATGTCTTGCCAAGCAAACTGTTTTACGCACATGTTTTGTACCAAACTAGGTTGGGGATGTAATCTCTCTCTACAGGGTACTGATGGCTATGCATAAGGACAATTTTATGCACAAGAGGTGTACCGATGGTTAGTACTCAAAGGGTTAAGCATTTGCAATTATTTGCAATCAAAACTATATACTCTTGCACCACACACATTTTTTTTTTTTTTTTAAAGAGCGTCTATCACCTTTGAGTATGAAAGTGTTTAAGTGCATCAAGTTGTGAGCATTGTATTACTTCAAGAAGTTGGAGGGAGCCACGCATCTAACATAATACGTTGACAGTGAAAGATTCTAAATTTAAAAACATTTCACAATAACAAAGACAAAAATACCATTTATTATGGCAGCAATTTTAATATTTTGTTGTGCACAAAAATCTTTTTCAAACACAAGCGGATATACCACAAAGTATTTCTGGTTGCCGTTTAAGAAAAGAAAATATTATAGACAGATACTCACTCTCAGAAAGTTCATCCTCAACATCAGTATCAAACTCTTCACTAGAATGAGGAGATCCAGACAGCCAGGTCTCAAAGGACGGGTGTCTGTTTCTTGCTGATTCAGTAGACAATGGAGTAAGTTCCGCAGATTCTAGCGCCACTGCTTGAAAAATGGAATATCAATTTAAGATTTATTGCATTATCCTGGTGAACAAAATTTGTCTTTTTAAAAACATGACTTGAAAACATATGGCCACCACAGTCTGAGAAATATATATATATATATATATATATATATATATATATATATATATATATATATATATACAGAGAGAGAGAGAGAGAGAGAGAGAGAGAGAGAGAGAGAGAGAGAGAGAGAGAGAGAGAGAGAGAGAGAGAGAGAGAGAGAGAGAGAGAGAGAGAGAGAGAGAGAGAGAGAGAGAGAGAGAGAGAGAGAGAGAGAAATAAACATTCAACAGTGCACAGAGGCATTAACAGCAATTAGATGGGTGACTGAATGTTTCTTTTATGCAAGGCACCACCTTCAGTTCACACAGACATTTATTGCTCTGGCCAACAACGACCTAGTATGATGATGTGAAAAAAATTAGAATTCTAAGAAGGGAAGTTTACTTCCCACCACAAAAAAAAAATCACGGAAATAAAAGTAAAAACACAGGCATAGATCACAAGAGCAGGAAAATCAGGCTATGAGAGGAAAACTCAATTCAGTAACTTACCACAGTCAATTTCTGTTTTATTATTCTCTTCCACGATATCAATCAGCTCTGAATCTTCTGGCACATCCTCAATAGGAGTCAAATCAAAAGGGGAATCAACTTGAGAAGCAAAATCTGACTCTGATGATCTTCCTGTAGCATGTAAATGGGACTTTTGCAAGCTGTGTCGAGCAATGGCCTTCTTATGACCATTGACATCACCTCTGCCACGGGCAACGGAGGCTGTGACAGGCCGAGAGTCACCAGATTTGGAGGCAGATGGCCGGGATTTCTTCGGAGCAGCAGTCAGAGGCCTTAGATGCCTCTGCATCTTTATAGACAGTCTTTCTTTTTCCATGATGATGCTTTTAACCGTAGTCTCTTGACCTAAGGTTTCTGAAAAGAAGAACAATTATGGGCAGTGTAATGGCCTATAGCCTGCCTATTCATGATAGGTCTCCGTCACATAATATGAAACTAAATAAAAACAGAAACTATTGAAATAAACGCAGGTGCCCCTGGGGTGGTGTCCTATTCCCAGTTTTATACACCACACCAAAGACTTAATAAGCCTGAACACACAAATGCAGTCAAACTTTGTTATACCGCCTACCTTGGAATGAGCATGAAGTTGGCTAGTGGTGTAATGAGGTTCTAAAAGTGTCTCAATAGCCTCGCTACCCGACATCAAGGGAAACAATTCTGCTGTATGATCTTAAAGTGTCTTTTTGCTGGCTATGTATTTAGAGCTAAGAGTTGGAGCGAACGTGTAAGCCCTACCCACCCAGCGAGTGATGATAGTTTAGGGGGAGAGCTCTGGTGTGAGTGCGAAGTTCAGGGAAAACAAACGTGTCGGTCAGTTCACACCCCGATGTGATCCCGTCTGGGGCAAACATTGTATCGCTTCATCGAGTTTTACAACGTGTATGTGATCACATTCACGATAGTGGCTGATCTTCGATGCGACAGAGAGTCTATTGATCTCAACTTTTCACTCTTGGTTGATCGGCTGTCCCGCCCGGGTTTTTGTTCCGCAAATTAAGATCTGAAATGCGGGATCTTAGTCGAATGTAGACCTTCAGAGTGAATCAGAGCAGGATTTTAGGGGTGACTTTTGTATAGTAAAAATTCTGTTTTCTTAAAACAGCGGGATGTAAAGCGAACCGGGATCGTAAGCGGTGGGATCTTAGGCGGAGACTACTGTATATCAAATGAAAGTATGTCCATTTTCCAGTTCATGTTGAAAGTTTCAGAGGTTTCTGACACACACAAAAAAGTTTTTGTAACTTTGAAATAAGTCACTCAAATACAGGTAAAAAAGCACATACACCACACCACTGGATAAGAACTCTATAAAAAATATTTACACTATGTACAGTTCACAACCCCAGTTACATTGATGAATGAAATTGCTGAAAACAATTATTTGGGAGAAGAAATGGCTGGCTGTCACACCCGATACAGAAGAATGAAGTCCTCACCCTCTTTTCGCGCGTGCTACACACTTGACATTCACGGGTCAGTTTTGACTTCACAATGATATGTGAGCTGTTGCAGACCCTGTTCAAGGGGTTTTCTGGCTGGGCATGACCTCTGTTGTCATTATTCTCTTGTATCTCAGCCAGATGTCGTGTCGCAAGGTTGCACAGCTGATCAATGAGCTTCGTTTTGAATTTCAGCAATGGAAGCTTCTTGGCACCTTCAGGCTGAGATTTGGTGTAAAGAATAAAAGCATTGATCTGTGCGATCTCAAAGATCCACAGAAAAATCTTCTTCCACCACTTTCTTGTTCTTCTATTGAAGGTACCATAGGTCTGGACCATTTGATCAATTTTATTACAACCGTTCATGATTTTATTGTAATCTTGAATTACAACCGGCTTGTCCACCCCTTTCACCTCGGTTGCAAGTACTTGTGCCTTGCTAGATACCAAGACACACGCTTTCTTTGCTTTTTTGTCTCGAAATGTTACACACAGGTACTTTGTATCCTGCATGTACCACCTCATTTCTCTGAAAGCCAGCCTGTTTGTTTTCAGCTCAGGTGGGAAGTCACGTCGATTTATATTTATCGTCCCGGTATAATAAAATTTCTCACTTGATAAATATTTGAGCAGGGGATAGCTGGTGTAGTACCTGTCTGCAAACAAGTGGTGTCCAGGTGACAGAGGTGACAGCAGAGTGCTAAAAATCTTTTCTGCCTGTTGAGCATCATGATGGCGAGGGTCAAACGAGGTGTTAGCCCCAAAATGAATTAGCAAATTCAGGACGTATCCGCTTTCACTCTCGCATAAACCGAAAGTCTTCACGTGATATTTCTTCGGCTTTGACGCATCAAACATTCTATTTGCCCACCTGCCCTTCCAGGCGATAACCATTTCATTGAAGGAGAGATTCTTCTTTGGGTAGTACGCGGCTTGAAAATGTTGTAACAAAAAATTTACAAAGGGTTCAATCTTCGCTTTTCCTTCAGCTCCAAACTCGCAAACGTGTAACATCGTGTGGTAAATTGCTTGGAATCTGTCGTATGTGAACATTTTCTTGAACCACGGTGTGCACTGATATGGTTCATTCCACCAGTAGCTGTGAATGCTTGGCTTGTGCACTATACCCATCGAAATAACGACGGCAAAAAACTTGTACAGCTCACCAAGTGAGATGTCTGTCCATGTTCGAAAAACAGATCTTGCACTCGCAGTATCCCGAAGCTCTGCACATTTATGCTGTGCGTACTCGTTGATCGTTGTCAACAGGCCACGGAGAATTGTTGTTGTACACAGTGCCAAAAAAGCAGTGGATAGGAGAAAAACCTTGTGCCACAAGCTCCAAGTCAACTCCTGTTCTCAGGGGCGTAAACCGAAAACTATTCGCTGTAGCCCCTTCATTCACTTGTCTCCAGTTGTTCCCCACTTCTGCGTCTCCTCTTCCATCTCCAGCACTCAAATGAGAACTGGTGGAAAATCGCCCAAGCTGAGATCATATCTCCACAAAATTGCGCCAGCAGACAACCCAGATCCGTCCTGTCGAGCCTGCAAGGAGGAGGACGAAACTATGGACCATGTGTTCCTGAGATGCCCCGCCAGCTATCGTGCTAGAACCTGTCTGCTGGGACATTTCAGTAACCCACTTTCAGCACTTTTTAAGGACCCCCGGGCGAGTGTTGAGTTCCTGCGTGCCGTCGGCATCGCTGACCGTTTATGAAGCCACAGCACCAGAAGAGAGAGAGAGAGAGATCTCCAGCACTAGTACTAGGCCTAAGAAGGGGAGATCTTGACCTATCTCTGCTCTCTACTCCCAGCACCAGCTCCCTTTCTTTTACCAGGCCCCTTCCCTTTACCCCATGAAGGACACTCCTCTCTTCTGGACTCGCAAGTTGAATTTGACGGACAGGGTTCAACAAGGTCTGACTCACTCGAAGACTCGTCTCTGCCTTAGACATCGTTCCCATCCGAGTCACTATACTATCGCTACAATCGAGCTCAGATTCATCCTCACACATAGTTTGGAACAAATCTACGGCGGCTTTTGCAAAAAGGCTTTAAATATATATTTGCTGTCTTCCATTGTTGGCAGCAGACGTAATAAACAAACGAGCTGACTTGAGTTGACAAATTCGCACTGAAAAAGTCAAAATCAAATTCACTGGAAAATACACGCTCCAAACACCACAAACTGCGTTTGAAAAGTGCGTACTTCCGTTCTAAAGTGATCTCTAAGAAAGAAGATTTCCGTACACGGTGTAGTTTTTACACAAAGCCCCAGAATATTAGGTGACACAGAGAGCCACATGAAGTGGCGTGCTGGCGTTTTGGCTACGTTAAGAGAGTGAGGTGGCGAGCCGGACACTAAGAGTTAAATACGGCTAGCGCCTAAGCCATCTAGCCATCCCAAGAAGTCTAGCCGTAGTTATCTTAGGCCCTATTAACATTAGAAAACAGGTCTCATTAGTAATTATTCAGGTTTATACATGCACTGTCATTAAGGCACCTGGTTTCATCTCAAATACAAATACTTTAGGAACTGCAAACTAAAATTTATTTACAATTCTGTAGGCCAATTTTTTTTCTTTTGGTCAGTCTAGCCATCATATTAAAAATAAGGCTAGCCAAGCTGTCTAGCCCGGCTAGTCTAGCAGTCTACGTCATTAAGTTCCATTATAACATTTAAGGTTCCTATTCAATTATATCAATTAAAATTATAGGCCTATATAATACATAATAAATAATATGGGATAATTACTAATAATCATACCTTGCCTTTGTTTGCATCAATTTTAGGATGTTAGTAATTTTGAAATTGTATTATTCGTGAAGAGTTCAGAAGACAGCAGCTCCTCGAGATCAACGTTGTTGCCAACAAAAACCATTGTAATTGTACGAGCAATGTCTAGATCTAGCCATCAAAGTCATAATGGAAACAAAAACAACAAGCTCTCAACTGACGCATGTCTCTACGGGCGTAGCTGAAGCGTGAAAGACACGTCGAGAGTGGTCAGTGCAGGTCAAGACCCTGTCAAGTCCAGTGGAAGAAATGTGTTGTTTAGGATAGCAACCAAAATTTTGAACTTCCTGTGTTGACGTCATAGATTCGTGGGCACACCAGACTTGTGACAAACTAGGCATTTATAGATGACGTACAGTGGTGTGTTTTATTTTCGAGTACAGCTGTGTCGAGAGTAAATTGGGGCGTCAAGGAGCCAGTGTCAACATCAGTATACTTTGGGGTGGCTGTGGATTTGTAATTATCACGTAAGCTTATTTTTTGTTCGTATTCTGCTGACGACTGTTTCGAAACTCGATCCTATCATAACATCATGTTGTAAATCTACTCCGTTTCGCGAGATTTCTTTCTACTCTTGACTTCTCTTGGCCTGGCTGGGACTGGGGCGGGCAAAGGCTCCGTTCAGAGCCTTCTAAAATTCGCCTACTCACTACTCAGTCAGTCAACGTCGTCGTAGATCTAGATTAACATTCTACGCAGCTCGTTCTCGTGCTTGTTTTGGTAGAACTAGATTCTAGATCTATTGTCTAGATATAGATTAAATTTAGATTTAGTGTTGGCTTCATGATCGAATTCTGAACCCAGTTTAAGTTTTCAGATGGCCACCTCTATTCTCACCCGGGATGAGAATAGATTCAATAGTGCAGGCGAGTCTTTTGGCTATTCTCACCCGGTGCGCGTTCACCGTTATAGCCTAGATCTAGGCCAACAAATTTTGCGTTCACCCTAAACCACAGAATTCTACACTGTGATAACAGAAAAATTGTAGAATTCTGTGCCGTGAACAAACGTTCCATTACAACTGTAGCCTACTAAAAGTAAAAGCGTACAATTTTGTCTGTGGGCAGTGGAGAGAGAGAGAAAGAGAGAGAAGAGTAGCGCGAGAAAAAAATGGCGACCCATGTAGTTCGGCTCGATTCGAAAAGTTAAATAGCCGTAGCATCTTTGTAGACAACCAAATTAATTTACTTTTGTGTTTTAAAATTAACATCATTTTTTAACTTTGTTTTGGTCAATTTGATCGTCCACACCGAAGACAGTATTCAGAAAGAGACAGAGAGAGAGAGAAGAGGGGAGGAGTAGATCTTGCGAGAACTTCCGGGCGGGTGAGAATAGCCACTTTCTTTTCAGATGGGATGATGTGTGACAATGTGTCTAAAAGTAAAACACATCATTGACATCATGCGATTTTATTTAAACGTAGAAAGAGGCAAACTATTTTTAGGTACGGCGCCCATCTTGTTTGACGTCAGACCAGGATACCCCTCCGATCACGTGACTTCATCTAAGTATAGCCAACCACATGGCCATGGCACCAAAGATGGAAGTGTCCGTTACTGTTATAAAAGGGGAAGTGGCTATTCTCATCCGGGGTGAGAATAGAAATACGATCGACCTCTCACCCCGGGTGAGACTTCGACTGTAGGCTATTCTCACCCGGTTTGAAACAAGACCTGTTTTTCCTAATTTCGGAATACTTTCTATCGATGTGGACGATCAAATTGATAAAAGCCAAGAAAAAATTACGTTTTATAGCACAAAAGTTTATATTTATAGTAAGCTAATTTGATCGTCTTCAAAGATGCTATGGCTATTTCACTGTTCGAATCGAGCCGAACTACGCGGGTCGCCATTTTGTTTTGCCCGGAAGTTCTCGCAAGATCTACTCCTCCCCTCTCTCTCTCTCTCTCTCTGTCTCTTTCTCTGAATACTGTCTATCGGTATGGACGATCAAATTGACCAAAACAAAGTTAAAAAATGATGTTAAAACACAAAAAAGTAAATTAATTTGGTTGTCTACAAAGATGCTACAGCTATTTAACTTTTCGAATCGAGCCGAACTACGCGGGTCGCCATTTTGTTTTGACCGGAAGTTCTCGCGCTACTCCTCTCTCTCTCTCTTTCTCTCTCTCTCTCTCCACTGCCCACAGACAAAATTGTACGCTTTTAAACTTTTAGTAGGTTACAGTTGTAATGGAACGTTTGTTCACTGCACAGAATTCTACAATTTTTCTGTTATCACAGTGTAGAATTCTGTGGGTGAACGCAAAATTTGTGGGCCTAGATCTAGGCTATAACAGTGAACGCGCACCGGGTGAGAATAGCCAAAAGACTCGCCTGCACTATTCTCACCATCAGCACTTCCGACAGCAAGTGGTAGATTAAGCTTGTTATACACCTAGACACTTCCATCTTTGGTGCCATGTGGTTGGCTATACCTAGATGTAGTCGTGTGATCGGAGGGATATCCTGGTCCGACGTCAAACAAGATGGGCGCCTTACACCTAAAAATAGTTTGCGTCCTACGTTTAATCGCATGTTAAAAATTGTCCTTAAGACAGCTTTTTCTTCATCAACTGAGCAAAAAACAGCATGAAGCTCTTCCCCCGGAACATTGGTTGTGGATTTTGGTAAACTCTGAAAGCTGGATAGTTATTTAAATATGAGGCCCTATCAAGGATGAAAGAGACTTTGCAGTTCAGTCTCGCCGTTTTTGCCCAAAGGGGGGTGCCCGGATTGTAACATAAAATCTGTAGTTTTTCATCCTTCGGGCTTATAGACAATATAATGCCAATGGTAAAGAATCCAGAATTTGTGAATAATTTAAATAATAGGAGTCAGATACAGCACATTAGCTCAGTCAGATACCAGTGTAGTAGAGTCAGATACCAGTGTGTAATACAGTCAGATACCAGTGTAGCAGAGTCAGCAGTGTAGTTGAGTGAGCCAGATACCAGTGTAGTAGAGTGGGTCAGATACATTCTCATAAGATAGCTATAAATGGTGAAAACCACTTTAGACAAACTATGATCATTGTGTCCAAGTGTTGATAACGAGCATGTTATTTTTAAGCTTGCAAAGAAACAAGTGATAACAATTGAAAATGACCGAATGTCAAAATACTGCCCGAATCCATATATGAGAAGAAAAAAAAATGTGACTGAACATGTAAATAAATCTGGCGTCACTTTCGCACCCAGTAAGGTCCTCAAATATGCGAACTAGCTGAAACAGTACATTCCTGGGGTCATCCAATCATAGGGCTTCCTGTAGCAAGTTTCAGTTTATAACTAAGGCAAGGCAGATAGGAGATATATATCAAGCTTTAAAGTCGACGTACCTATTTTTGTCCTAATTTTGACAGAACCGGTAATTTTACTCTAGGGTGACTGTGCCCTGAGCACGACCAGTTTCCCATTTTTCCTTTTTGTGCAGCTCGTGTACAATCTGTTTTATATTTGTGTTACGTGCCTTGTCTAGTTCCACTTTTGGTCAATCCTTTTCCGAGAACATCAGTCGTCTACTAATGCAGCAGTCGAGTTCAAAGTGAAAGGCTTTCAGAGACATTCTTCGAGAACTTTTCTTCAGATACTAAACTTTACTGAAACTAGAGTATCTGGGCCAACCCGCAACCACTTCTCTCTATACCCTCTGTTTTTTATAAGATAATTGTCTTCGTCATAATTTGCTTTTATTATTAAGTAATGATTACAGTGGAGTCCACTTATAACGAGTCCTGAAAGAACGAGAAGTCTACCTGTTATAAAGACACTGTTCTAAAACCCCGTTTTTTTTCTTTCTTTATCTTTGTAAATAAAATACTGCTATTGTGCAATCAGACCGTCACGCGAGTCGTTTATAACGGAATATTGCTGCTGCTGTGCACAGCGCACAGACCAATTAAACATTATTATAAAACTTTGCCAGTTGAGAAAGTTGTCGTGGATCCTGCGAAACAAGGAATGGGAGAGCCCCAGCGAACCAACAATGAAGGCCGGAGCGAATGGGTGGGGAGGGTGTGGCATGCGCAGACACAAGCAGAGAACGCATTGCGTTATAGGCCAGCCCAGTCTAGATTATCTAGGCATACCGTGCCTCTCACTTCTCTGGTGCGGGATGGAGAGGTCACAAAGCTGTGATAGATGGATGGAGTGAATGTATGACATGCGCGAGCAGACGCAACGCGCCACAGGCTGTGGTGGAGTGGGGTACAACACTGCGGGCGAGTTAGCCTAGAGCCAGAGCCCCTTCTTTCTGATCGTCAAGGCCGATTTGTCAACATTGCTAGTGCTAGAGAAAGAAACCTGATTCGATTTTTGATCAAGTAAGACCTTGAGATCATGTTGAACAAATCATCATCAGGGGAAATACAAAAAGGAATAAACAGATCGCCAAATCATAGAGTAGGCCTACTTTACTATTTCCCTTGAATTTATTACTGGATCCTTTGTAACGGGAATCCTGCTATAACGGACATTTCGCACCGGTCCCCTCCCTCTCGTTATAACAGGATTCCACTGTATTACTAACCTTTAAAAGAACATCAACTTTCTTGCACCTCTGTTAAATGTCTGTGCGCGCATGGTCGCGCCAAGGGCAGAACACTAAGATGTTGAAATGTGAAATCTGCGAATGGTGTTTTGGAATTGAATGACGATATCACAGTATAAACCGGAAGTTGACACACTGAAGCGGCTCTGAACATGGATTGCCTGACCTATTTTGCCGACAGAGACCACTGAGAAGCAAAATACACTTGTACAAGTGGTCGTAGGTTGGGCCAGGTACTCTAGATCTAAAATCTATATTGAACGACTCCCGGTCCTGGAAGGTTTGGTTTGTTGTTTTTTTTGGGGGGGTTCTTCTCCTGTTCCCAACTGACCAACAATTTTTTCGCATAGAGATTCTAATTTTATAACTTCTTGTTGCTTTGTAGTTTTTATGTAGTGATGAAGCATGCTCATTCTGGTTTTGTTCCCAAGAGGAGCTTTTAGTACCTAAGTAGGCCTATACTTTTTCTGTTACCAATTTAGGCCTGGTTAAAGTTCAATATAGTGGCTTTCCTTGGTCTGTGAGTCTAATTTTTTATATTTTTTAAAATTTAGGCTGTTGTTGTTGTTAGCGATCCAGTATCATCTGAGCATTAACTCTCAGTTCTGCCTGATGCCATTCGGTAATCTAAGCTGCATGTCTGTTCTAATTGTTATCTTGAGGAGTAGAGGCAATTAGATAGATATGTGGGGTAGCTTGGGAAGAAAACATCCCCTAAAATCAGTTAGTTTTCTACAGAAGAACAGATGATGTTCCACTGTCTTTGAGGGGTAGTCACATAGTGGGCAGGCAGCAGACTGCTTCACTCCAATTCAGTTGAGATGTTGGTTGAGGGGTACATGTTGTGTTCTAAGTTGGAAGATTATGGATTGATCTCCCCTCTTCAACTCATTGATTTTGATTGGATCTTTGACCA